GATTACTCAGTGGACGACATATATAACGCCATTCGTGAGTAGTAATGATCCAAAAGCATCCAGAATAAAACATGCAGTATGGCAATCACTTCCAGGGTGCTTGATGCTGTCGAGGTTTTTGGGACTCACTCTGATCAGAACAACTGAATGAATCCAGATAATTGTGTGTGCCATTGAATGAACCATCTAAAAATGATTGCAGAAAACTTATAGCTGAAACTCACCGTATGTTTTTGGAGTAGTCATCCTCGTTGTTTGGCAATGGAACTCGAGAATATGAAATTAGGCAGGCAGTGGTCGGAAGAAAAGATATTACAGGATAGTGCATCGTTTAAAACAGGATGAGGTGTTAAGTGAAGGAACACTGAGAATTAGATCCAGATAACTATTTAGTCCTTGATCGCATTGTTAGTGAATGTATATTTACGCTATTTACAGGTCATATTTGCTAGAGCTTGATGTTTAAACAAGACTATGTCGCTGAAGCATGTAAATGCTATTACAGCTTGTTAACAAACCATCAAAGCTAATTAGTTAATATAGACGACCAGTTTTTATTATCGATTGAGCTAGTTTGTCATGAGGACTAATCAATATAACATTACGATAATGCATGTGAGCATTAATCAGAGGACTATTAGAATACAGGGTTAACATAAATATAAAATCGATCGAGAAAGTTGAAGTGGAAATAAGGATTAATAATAATAGGTTGCGTTTCTTTAGTTGGGCTCACCAATGTAGAACTATGGTCTACTATGATATTAGTACTGCTCTAATAATAGACCTAATCCTAAATTTGTAGATTTGTCATGATATAACTGCCTAATCTATAAGATCTTACGTGGAAGTCACACCATCGACTACACCAACTCACTGTATCGTATCAATTACCAATACATGATGTAGAACAAGGTTAGGCTAGAGAAAGAACAATATATTTAATATGAATAGAAGATATAACGTAACATTGAGATGGACCACGCCTGCATGGCCGAGCCATGCCATTCGATCAACTCCAATCCATTCAATTCATTCTTCGCGCCTTCTCCATTGTTAGGTATTTCCCCGAGTTAAATATTGAATATCTATTTTCTGAGTAGTCTCGTGTTCACAGCTTTGTGGATTGTGTGGCTATTGTCCAATGCCACTACAGATCAAAAGTCTTTTATATGTAGGTGTTCTAAAACCCCTACCCTAGAGTGAATGAAGACAATCTTTATGGCCAAAAACAGCTGATAGTTCTAATTCTTCAGAGAAAGAGATTAGCTGCACAACTTTGTTGTCCATACGTTGTTGTACTACCGCCTACTACTGCCTAATCCATAAGATCTTACGTGAATGTTACATCACCGTCCACATCAACTCATCGCATCGTAACAGTCACCAATACATGATGGGGAACACATTCAGGCTGGATATAGAACAATATATTTAATATGAATAAAAGATATAAGATACATTCAACAGGGATCACGCCTGCAAGTTCGAGCCATGCCATTCGATCAATTCGAATTCATTTTAATTAATTGTTCCAGCCTTCTCAGTCGTTGGGTCTTTCTCTGCGTTAAATATTGAATATCTACTTTCCGAGTGGTCTCGTGTTCAGCTTTGACGGTTGTGTGGTTAGGGCCCAATGGCACTACATGCTCTCCCATCAGAAGTGACCACAGCCCTCTTAGTGGATAGCTTTAAGAAGAGGCTTGATAAACACGTACTCACCCATAAAGTGCCATCTTCCGCTTGTATCAATTGTGCCTGATGCATGTCTTGTAGACTGCCTGCTGTCATCGTTATTACATATCAGTAGCTACATTCTATCTCGCTTATTACAATCTCAGTTTCCCCTTTTATCCTTGCACTTCCGTCTGCTCTCACGGTTGGCACTAAACACCAATCAACTCACTTGATCACTCATTGATTGGGACGATCGTCTTCCCCCAGTATTCGGATTTTCTCTTCGTTTTATACATTACAACCAGCCAGCCAACTTGCTGCCTAGTAATGAACATTACCAAATTCCTGGAACTGTGTTGAAATAACAGGACGTGTGTGCCAAAATTAGTCTGTCGATATGGGCTAATAATAAAGATATTTGGTACTGAATGCCTTGTCCTCATCCACATGATGTGTTTTTTAAATAGGGCTAGTTCGAATCCGACAGAACGTAACTGGTTTACCGACTTATTTCTTGTTTGAATTCGAAGAATTGCTTTTCTTAATAAATACAATTGAATTATGTGAGCTTGTTAAGTCGACCCACCAATTTTTGCTCTAGGTTTCGTTCCTCCTAACGCAACTGTGAGCACTCCCGTAGTACACAAAGTACTTTATGGCTAAACGCGAACCGCTACACTGAGACTGTGGTTAAGCCTTCAATAGTCGGCTGATGATAAAAACTGGAGCTTGCATGATAAAAACTTCTCTTATTCCATCCACAAAAATTTTATAGGGCCAATGATTTACAAGTGGAAGGGTTATTGTAAGAAATAAAACGTCATATGTTTTCATGTGGATCACAGAATTAGTATAGAATCTCAAATAGTTTTAAGCTAGCTTTTCAGTCAAAATTTATCACATTAGTAAGGAATTTGTAGAAATTTTAACTTTGTTTGTTTTGCAGCCAGGAGTCTGCAGTTTTAAATAGCAGTTCTTATATTTCCGTGCATCCATTACTTTCCGTTCAGTAAGTATTTACGCTGTGCTGGCGCTAAAGAATACTGACACAGAAATATACAGCAACATCTCTGAATTTATATACATATATGACCTATTCAGCAACTCCACGTATACTACATACTATAGTGTGTATATATGCATGGAGTTGCATTGTACTACAACGCAGTATATATTATAAATTGAGTCTATTAGTATTTTAATTGTGAGGCTGTTCAAATGAGAGAATTCATTTGATATGGATCCAAATTACTCGATCTTTTCAGATTCGCGGATTTTGCATTTAATGCAATTGACTTTTCTTATTTTGGCCATTAATAATCATGGTCACCGTTGGCTAGTTAAGCACAATATTTTATGTAGTTTCATGCAGAAATTAAGTGAACCGTTAGTATTCTTTTGCATGAATTTAGAGGCTCTGTAGTCGGCCATATGGTGAAACCATTGGTGAGCAGTTGGCTTTCAGTGCGCTGTCGTCCTAAAGTTCTAAGTGAAACTTTGGAAGTGGTGCTTGGTTGTTGATGTACTTTTGATCAATCTTGTACGAATTGGCTTCCAAGCAATGTTTTTATAACCTAACTAACCTGGTCAAATCACCCCTACGGTTCAAACCTCTGAACATCACAGCACCTTAAAATCCAGTGACAGTTATCTCATAACTATATAATGTGTACTTGCAAGTGCTGATGATGCGTTACCATCAATAAGTCGCTGAAAGTATTTAGGAAAGTAGTTTGCCAATCTTATTCTGAGAATATGAGGACACGAATGATATTCAAAACAAAAGATAGGGAGTATTGTCTTCATTTACATCGGAGGATCAAACAAATTCCTTTAGAAATAATTGATTACTATTGTCAAATGATCATATGATGTAATATATTCAGATGCATGTAGGGGTAAAATATAAATATGACCGCCCAAAATTTTAAGGCACATCACCTGTGATACCTAACCTTTATTATTTTACTGAGCATAGATCACTATAATGAGTTACCACAGCCTTCTTACATCAAAAAGTTTTATCAACCACGAATTACTAGTACAGTAACCATAATACTTTAAAGAAAGTCAAACGTCTTGGCTTTATTTGAGTTTGATTCCGCTGTCTTTATTTTTCTAATGTAAGGAAAGTCATATGCTCGTCTTTTGGTTTACGCGACCAAATGACGGCACTTTTATATCTGTTCTTGACCAACGCACTCCATCTTTAACAACACTGTTGGTTGTGTAATGTAGATTTTAGAAGTGTTTTTTACATTTTGGTGCTCTTTTGGTTTGTCGTTTTATTTCACTAAGACTACAATAGCCGATGTGGTAATCATGCAATGGATATAGTTATTATTCCTTTGAATGTGATCTTCAAGTCGTCCCAAACCTTTTCAATTGCCCGTCGTATGTTAGCAGACTAATTTTACAATAAAATACTTTATGATCATCAAGATGTTTATGTTCAATATATTCAGACGGGAGAAGAACAATCAGACAAAATTGTGTATTATAAACCTAAAATACACCTAACTCTATTCACTCATTAATAGTGGAAAGTCGAATGTCGATAACATCGTGAATATGCTGCATGGAAGCATTTAAGTAACCTACCCAGTACAGGATTATGACTTAAAGTATGGTTGTTATATATTATTTTTGTGATATAGATTGTGCGGGGTATCGGTTCTTTCTCCAGACAGGTCCAATATAAAACGCTTAGGATTTCTGAAAAACCGCTTATTATATTCATGCACGTCTCAAAGGTATCGTCTTCCAAGTCATCGATACCCAGAAATTCAGTTTTCATGATTGTTATTGTTCATATTACCTCTTTTAAGCCACCATTCTTGAACGTATTTGTAAATTAAAATCTTAAGTTTTCAATAGTTTACAAGTTGTCAACAAGTTTAAGTCTCTCCCGATTCCGGTTTTTACACCTTCTCCCATGATACGTATATTCGAAAATCCTGACTTAATAAAATGTTCTAACTAAGTGATAAACATTTAATTGTTATAGAACTGGGAAACGTTTGTCTTCAGTTATTGATGCCAGATTTTACATTGCGTTCACTGCTAAAATTACATTATGATCTAATCAATGTGTTAACTACTGGATATGTATTGATTTTGTGATCATTAGATTTTAAGTTGTATTTGTGATTATCGGTGGTTTTTTATACACTGCATAGATCTAAAAAGGACTGGTATTACCCTATCAATCGTTCTTAAGCTCACTAATGTGTGATTAGGTGAACTTTTGTAGTGTGACTACATTTTATGTTTATTTAGCACAATAGACCAAAAGATTATTACTGAACTTCGCCTGCTTTTTTCCTAGATGTTTTAGATTCATATATTGTTTCCCGGATTTTCGTAGATATTTAAGTTTGTATTTTTTCTGCTAGCGAGCTGTTTAAGCATCCATTTTGAGTTTGAATTTACTAACGCTGATGAAAACTACATGTGCTAGAAGCTCATCATGAACAGTGATTGTGGAGTTCTGTAAACCGTCAAGCAAATTATATGCGCAAAGTTAGTTGTGCTAATCGTTGAAGTTTTATTTAAAGGATTAATACAATTGTATTAAATACTTATGATCTTTTGTTTATAGATGTCTTCTGTGAAGGATTGTACATGTGACAAGTTAAACTCTTTCAAAAGTCCATGGTGTGATGCTGACTGTTTTGTTGTAATCACAGGTGCAAGTCGTGGATTTGGTCGGGCGTTCGCTGTGGAGCTAGTAAAGTCAATGTCATCTGGGGAAGACCATGCTGCTTCCTTAAATGTTTTACTAATGGCTCGTGATGTTAATGCTCTTCGTGTAACGGAGTCTGAGGTGAGTTTATCTTTAGAAGTTTCTTCCCTCATGTAACCAATATGATTAGAAATTGTCTAGTTGATCATAGCAATCCAGGCTTAACAAAAGAATGTCATTTGATGTATAAAAGGATAAAAAAATGTATGTAAATACTCTTTTATATCTTATGAATCAACATGCTGTATTAATAAGTCAGTCATTGTTGGGTATATTGAATCCTTAAATACAATATCTGAAGAAAGCAAGTGTAAGATCATATATTGATTTAACGCAATTTTTTTACCATGCGGCTTCTGTTCAATATGACATCTAATTGTATTAATTTTGTGTTGCAGTTTAACAATAAGCAGTGATTACTGAGTATAATCTGTATACAATGAAATAAATCTAAACGTCAATTGATCTTATTTGGTTTTTACGGAATAAGTCTTCCGTATATGTTTTATCTCTTGTAGTACCTCAGGTTAGAAGACAAAAGAGCTGTTGTATACTGATATCAAAATGTAGTCAAGATTTATTGCTTTTATCACAGACATCTCAATCAGCCATTATCATTGTAGAACCTGATACAAATGTATGCCGATTCACGTTAAACAACGTAAGAAAACAATTAATCTAAATTGAGGCAGAAATCTTAACCATTTAGTTGAAAACATTACACTCCCTGTCCTCCCTTAAACTAAGAGATTAAAATCACTTCATATCTTTCTTTCTACGAACTAATTCTTTCTTCCTATACTATATCCTTATTGCAATCTTCCTTCTATATATTACCATCTTTGACCTAACCACTCCTATGAATCCGCTGTTCATCTTGCTGTGCTAATGAGGTATGGCAACCTGGACCGATGCACATATGTGCCTGGTCCTACGTTGTAGCTGACTGACTGACTGACATCAGTACAGAAGGGTAAAATTAACAACATGAGTAAGCAACGAGTAAAGACGATAATAGTATCGATATATGTCAAAGAGAATGATTAAATATAAAGAATACAGTTCGAAAAAGAATGGATGAAAAGAGTATTTTGAAGGTATATTGAACCTAAAAATCTCAAGCAAATAAGGTATGTCAGACAGCCAAACAGCACACAGACGACTGTTAACGAGGATCCACCCTAATAGTGCTTGTTCTGTCCTCGTACTTATTGCTATGCCTACACCTGCCGATTCACGAGAACTAGCCATCGGGTCGCCAGATACATGGAGGGTGTATCTCGTTGGCTCTCCGTTTCGGCAAGATGAGGTCCAAAGGTTGACCACACTAGGATTCTGCATGCGTGTTTCGGAGACACAGCACATATCAATGGTACGAGATTCTAGGGTTTTAGCCAAGGAGGCCTATTGACCGATTTGACATAGGGTGCGTACGTTGAAGGCTCCAATGTGTAGTTTGGAGCGAGGTTTCAGTAGACCTGGGACAGTGTTTGCTCACTAGAATCGTTGGCTATGGTGACACTTGAGGTGGAAGCGAAAAGAGAAAGTTTATGGTTGAAAGTCGATGTAGGACGATTAATACGAATTGAAGAGGGAGGTTGATTATGAAACTATATCTATATCAATTGGTTGGTCAGGTTTTATAGTTATGTACACTTTAATTGGTTTATAACAAAATATCACTAATAATGTTGTTTTGTTGTGTGTATATCTTTAGATAATATCCTTTGTATAAGTTGTGTGTACTATATGGAAACGGACAACTGAACTTTAAACTTTGTTTAAGATACGCTGAGCAATAACAGAGGAGAGTAGATAAAAAATTCTTCATATGCCTTATTTTTCTCCTTCCAAATTTATTTCTTTCGATTATACCCCTTGAATAACATCTTCAAACTGTAATCTTTCAGATAACTGCTTATACTTTTACTACCTCTACCACTACAGGATTTGGATCGACAACTGCATCTCTGTTCTAATGTGGTATGGCAACTCGGACTGATGTACGTACGTACGTACGAAGTTCTACGTTGTTGCTGACTGTAGATAAAAACAAGATAAAAGCTAATTAAGATTGAAACGTTCCATTGTGCAAATGAAATTATTTTCTTTATGTTTCGTATTTTTTACGAAGTTAATACGTAGTTCTTTTTTATTCCTGTTACCGTATCTATGTCTTGTTAACTTGTAGTCAGTCAGTAACAACGTAGAACTTCGTACGTATGTACATCAGTTCGAGTTGCCACACCACATTAGCACAGAGATGCAGTGGTCGATTCAAATCCCGTACTGCTAGATGTAGTTAGGTTTGAAGATGTTATTCAAGGAGTATAATCCAGTGAAATAAATTTGGGAAGAGAAAAAAGAAAGGGACATGAAGAAGTCAGATTGTAATTTGGGAGAACACAAAGAGTGGATGCACCTGCGCCATTGCATAACTTGTAGTCATCATCCATGAATCTTTGTTGACATTCTAGAAGCCTTTATTCAAGAATTCTTTACATGGATATATTAATCATTTGTGGACTTTCCGTTCTAGTTAATTGTTTTGGTTATTAAAGTGGAGCTTTCAAAAACTTACTATTCCTGGCCATTTATCCCATAACTTTATCCTCTGTTCCCATTTTTTATATGAAATATTGTTATTCCACTATGTGGGTCGTACATTCTTTATCCTGATACTCTGTTGCACTGAAAGCTTTATGACAAAGTAGTTTTTAGTACGAGCTAAACGGCCAATGCTGCTGTCAAGGTCTTTCAAATATAATACTCAAAAGACATACATAATAGATGATGGTGGTTGGTAGAAACAAAATATTTGAACGGATGCAGTGACTATTAGATTAACCGTCTAAAGGAGTGCAAGTGTCACACTTAGTCAGTTGGTTAGTTTTGTGCAACGTAGAAACTGATATATATGTACATCAGTTCAAATTGTCATACCATATCAATACAGCTAAGTAAAGTTATTAAGAGAGATGTTAGATTAGTGGAAGAAGTAACAATATCGGTGGTAGAGGAGAAGATTAGGCATAGATATAGTTAACCGAGGTAAAAGAATGAGTTCATCGGATAAAATTCGTAAGATAGTTAAAATACTTAAGATCTAAGGTAAAACAATACGTAATGCACGGAATGTCGAGTCACCTAGACTAATGGCTACATTGCAATTTGGTCGATAGCGTTTTATCTGCATTAAGAAGGACCTGACACACATGAAATTGATCACTACCCAATGATCAATCAATTGTGAATACATCTCAGTCATACAGGAGGTCAGTTGCGGCCCGGATAGCCCAGTGGTAACATTTCTGACTGTGAAGCTGAGTGATTTATTTTATTTAAACACATAAACATTGGTACAAGAAAACACCAAATAGTTATGCGCCACACAACTCATTCGATTTGTATGAAGGCTGGGATACTGCTCGTGTGCCCAAACCGAAGCAGGTGGTTTCTTAGGAGGCCGCACCCCGAGCCTTCGACCTAAAGGTCCAACCCATAAAACAATGGGGGAACGTCAGAAGATTCTGTCCTATGGTAGCCGGTGATCAACGATTGGTTCGTACTCCAATTGTTCCTTCAGGATCATGGAGCTCATGTGTACGATTGGTTTAGAATGAGGGTTTTCCAACTCCCATAGGTAGATCCTCCATATCCATAAACCCTGTTAAAGTGCCGGACATTCGCTTTTCGTCCTCTCGATTTCTTAAAAAACAGTAATGTCGCGAGAAGGCAGTAAGTAATACTTCCCTGGCAGTGGTTGTGTGTACGTGACCATGTGAAAATATTTCGAGACGGAGAGCCGACTCTCCCCACTCTCGGCCATACCAGGGCATTTGGGGGCTGGGTGACATGGGACCGGATCCGTCAGGAGCACCATTTCCCCAAGATTACAGGTACATCTTGCTGACAAATGCCAAATAGCACGAAACCCGGGTACAGGATCTCCTGTTGAATACCCTCAACCATCATCTTAGCTATTTATTTATATTACTTATTATCAACCATAATGTCTAATAAATAAACGAATTGGTAGGTGCAAACTACTTGGTTGGGGTCCACGAGACTATCGTAACCAATGGTTGAAGATTCTGGGTGACATGGCTCAGAATCGATCACAATGGTGTAGGTGTATACACATTCTGTCTTCCTTTAAACTATGCGGTTAAAATCGCTTCATGTATTTCTCTCTACCAACCAATTCTTTCTTCCTGTACTATATCCCTATATACAATCTTTCTTTTATATATTACCTACACCGAATCCGGTATTCAGCTTGTTGTGCTAACGAGGTATGGCAACTTGGACCGATATATATATGTGTCTAGTCTTACGTCGTAGCCGACTGACTGATTTAAATTTATGTAAATGATTCAATGCTTTCTTTCTCCCTTTCTTTTTTTCTCTCTTAAATTCTTGCACAGATGTATGCTTCATTATCAACTAATTCTAAAATGAAATTAACTATACTAGTATCAACATCATCACTTGATATGTCCAATGCTAATAAAGATAATTTATTAAATGATTTAAAACCATTATTTCAATTAAATTCATTATATCCTATTCAATCTAATATAAAATGTCAATGGAATATGCTTGTACATAATGCAGCTACATTAGGTAATATCAAGTCGAAATCATATGAATGTTATAATATTGATATATTAGATACATATTATCATACTAATTTAACTGCACCTATCTTATTAACAAATTTATTTATAGAATATTTTATCACTAATCATCAACCTATTACTATAGTGAATATATCTAGTTTAACAGCTATTCAACCATTTCCATATATGTCAGATTATTGTATTGGTAAATCAGCTAGAGAAATGTATTTTAAATGTTTATCTATAGATAATCCATCATTAGCTATATTAAATTATTCTCCAGGACCATTAAATACAAATATGTTAACAGAAATCATAGAAAATCATGGTCATATAGATACACGTATTCAATTTAATAATATGAAATTAAATCATCAAATTATTGAACCAAATGAATCAGCTCGTGTATGTATTGGATGGCTTAAAAAACAAATACCAATAGATCCATCTAATATAAATTCTATACCGAAATTAAAACATTGTTTAATACATGATAAAGAGTATACAAATTTATGGTTAGGTATACACTTAGATTATTTTGATGCTGTTGAGAAAGTTTAAAAAAGAAGAAGAAAAAAAAATGCATTAACATTGTCAACGATGAGATTGTGAATTTCATAACTTCTCAATTCTATCATCAGAAATGAATGATATATTCATATAAGTGTCAACTATTCTATATTATGAAGTAAGTATTTATTCTGTTGTCATCTTTCCCGTTTTTGTTTTGATATTGCCAATTCAGCCTTTATGTGTGTGTGTGTGTATGAATTCTTGATCTATGTTACATCGTGTTATACTTATATCTCTAATAAAAGGTCAGCAATCTTTTCGTGTTTTTCATAAATCAAGAATAAATAAGAACTTTCGTCTAAATTTGAACGAATAGTTTCACAATATTTGGGCGCCGAGTTAATTTGAGACATTAAAAAGAAGAATATATTTGTAAAATCTCAGCGAATGAATTTTAAGTAAATCCAACGTTTCGCCTGGCAATCTGGTCCAAGCTTTTTCAAGGAAAATATAATCAAACAACAAAATTATCGAATATAATAGGTACATGGTTCTACGGTTTACTGTACATTATTTTCAAATGAACTTTTATTTTATTTGTTTGACCTTTATTATTTTTCATATAAACATGTCTCTTACACATTAATACAAATACCTATCTATAAAGAAATCCTTCACGTCGATTGGATGACTTATTCAGTGTACAGTAAACCGTAGAACCATGTACCTATTTATATTCGATAATTTTGTTGTTTGATTATATTTTCCTTGAAAAAGCTTGGACCAGATTGCCAGGCGAAACGTTGGATTTACTTAAAATTCATTCGCTGAGATTTTACAAATATATTCTTCTTTTTAATAAATCAAGAATGTTTAGAATCAACTTTTGTTCTATCCTATTGTAATGGTCAATAATCAATATAATCCTTAAACTTCGTCCTGATAACCATCTTTATAGATAACGCTCCAACCTGTGTATTAATCAGAAAGCGAATACAAAGTGTTGATTACGTTTATTATTGTACCATACACAGATCACCAAAATTAAGCGTGAAAGGGTAGTGCTGAAAAGCAAGCGGGTAAGTGATTGAGCATGCGAGTCAAATGAACGAGTGAGTGAACAAGATAAAATGTACATATATATATATATATACATGGTGAAATGAATGAATCATAAAATCAATTAAGCGGCCCCAAATGTACTGGTACGGCTGAAAGTGGAGAGAGTCAGCTCACTCAAAATGCTCTCACATGGCCATGTGCATATAATCACTGCCTTCTCGCGGTGAGGGTGTTGTTTACGACATTGTGAGGAAGAAAAGCGATTTCGCGGCGCTTTAACGGGGTTGGTGGATACAGAGGAACTGCATATGACAGTCGAAAAAACCTGATTGAAAACAATTGGTGGACATGGGCTCCAGGATCCTGAAGGAACGGATAGCATATGAACCAATCGTTGGTCACCGGCTACCATGTGACTGTATCTCCTGACGTTGCTACACTATGTTGTGGATCAGATCTTTAAATCGAAGGCTCCGAATGTGACCCTTTATGAAACCACCTGCTTCTTTCTGGGCACTCGGGCAGTATCCCAGCCCTCACATAAATCGAATAATTCACGTAGCGCATATTTGGTATCCTCTTGTACCAATGTTTATGTTATCTATTAAGTGACTGATAGTAAGGCTAGCAGGAAGTAAACAATGCTCAAGCATACATATTCATACAAGTGCAACAATAATTAAGGTACAATGGTATAGATAACTTGTTATTATACGAATGACTCTGTCCGTCAAATAAGTTAACAAAAAGGCTTAATCAAATCAAATGTGAACAAACTCAATTGCACGTGAGCTGCTATATTCGCCTTTTGGAAGCTTACAAAACGCTTAATGTATTTTTCAAATCTGTCATTACTTGGATGTATATTCAATTGTGTAATACCGAAGTTTATTGGTATAGTGGATCGAATAGCTATTTTTATTGCTTTAGCTCAAAAAAAAAAAGAAATTCTCAGATTTATCCAAAACTCAATTATAGTAGTTACGAATAAACCAGCATTAAAAGGCAAAAACATACGTGAATATATATTACTGAATGTAAAGAAATTGAGCAATAGTTATTTATGAAGCATTTATCGGTTATTACAAACACTATAACTAGTCTCACAAGTTAAAATGATGAGTCAATTGAAGCTAGACCACCGTGGAAAACCTGGAAGCACTGGACGGCCGTTTCGTCCTGGTATGTGACTCCTCAGCAGTGCGCATCCACGACCCCGCACCTCGCGGGATTCGAACCCAGGACCTACTGGTTTCGCGCGCGAAACTATAACTAGTCCTTGAATTTTCGGCTGATCAATATAGGTTTTTGTAATCAATTCTGAACTACATTTCTTATATGAAGATTAGGGTAACTGCTAATCAACTCCTGATATTGGAATATATTTAGGATGGAGTTTGAACCTGAAGTGTACGAGTTTAAAACTGAAAATCTTGAATGCTCATCAATCACTTCATACATAGCTCAGGAGTATATCAGTCTCACTTGCTACTTTTCACGATAAAGTTGAACGAATAGTTGATTAGAGAATAGAAGTGTGATTTATACACTTGTTCAAACTAATTCATACCATTAGATATATAGTGAAAGTTAGCAAAGATTGTCTTAAAATATTAGAGGGAAATGTAAAATGCCTGGAAATGTTTGGTTTTACATAGTACTACAAGGAAATGGGTTGATTAGTCATCATCAAATGCATCGAACCATCAATGTAGCTAAGATCACTTCTTGCCTTTGCTACATACATGCTATCTTACTTACTTACGCCTAATAACACTCGTCGAGGAGCAAAGGCCACCCACCAGCATTCTTCATCCAACTCTGTTCTGGGCTATCCTTTCCAGTTTTCATTCATCCTTTTCATGTCTACTTCTATTTCCCGACGTAATGTGTTCTTTGGCCTTCCTCTTTTCCGTTTTTCTTCACTATGCCAAGTTAGCGCTTGCCATGTGATACATTTTGATGATTTCCGTAATATATTTCCTATCCACTTCCAATGTCTTTTTCTAATTCCCTTCTCATCTCGAAGTTGGTTTATTCTCTCTCATAGTAATCCATGCTATCTCATAGCTAGTAAATGGATTATCAAAATTTTAACAACAACAACAACAACAACAAAAAGCATGTTTATATTATTTGAAAGTCATTCATAATAACATTTCCCTTCTATAATAACATTCCAATCTCAGATAAGTTCAATCTGATCAATAGAAAGAATAAGACAAACAATTTATTCTTGAATAAATTAGAAGAGAGAACATTTTTAACTCGGTTAGAAATTTAGTGGAATTTTCTATTCTACAAAAAGACAGTTATTTTAATGGATATAGATCTTATCAACTAACTAAAAGATCTTTTTTGAATCATCTATTTACAAACATTAAGTGATCTTTGATATTATTTCTATCCCGAATTTGTCAAAGTTATTAGCATATTATGTAGAGTTATCAAAATATGAGAAAAGTTGAAGAAGTATGTCTTAATTCTTATCAAATGATGTGGATTTGTAGTGATTTTTTTTACTGAGTTTATAACGAATGATTATCATAAAGTAATGTTATTTAACAGTTGAATTCATGAATTGATCTAAATTAGATTACTATTGAAAACTTGAACGTATTGGATGGTTGTTTCAAGTTTTCAATAGGGGTCTAGCTTAGATTGATTCATGAATTCAGCTGTTCAAGTTACTATAATCTCCACAAATCCCCCATTCTGAGATGATTTAGTTAAATATTGGAAATCCAAGGACAACAAATCCATGAGAAGACGACCAGTGTAGCAACAGTAGTAGGTCTTAACATACACAAACAGAAAATCAAGATTATCCGATACAACACAACATGCACCAATCAAACCTCACTTGACGGAGAAGCTTTGGAGGATGTAAAAACCTTTACATACTTGGGCAGCATCATTGATGAACGCAGTGGATCTGATGCAGATTTGAAGGCGCGGATCGGCAAAACAAGAGCAGCGTATTTACAACTGATGAACATCTGGAACTCAAAACAACTGTCAACCAACACCAAAGTGAGAATTTCCAATACGGATGTGAAGACAGTTCTACTGTATGGGGTGGAAACTTGCAGAACTACGAAAGCCACCATCCAGAAGGTACAAATGCTTATTCACAGTTGTCTACACAAAATACTCCGGATCCATTGATCCGAACAAACCAGATTCCAGTAGAGGAACAAATCAAGAAGGAGCATTGGGAGTGGATAGAACACACATTGAGGAAAGCACCCAACTGTGTCAAAAAGCATGCCCTGACTTGTAATCCTCAGGGCCAAAGGAAAAGAAGAAGACCAAAGAACACATTGGGCCGAAAAATGCAGAAAGACATGACAAGAATGAACAACAATTGGATGGAACTAGAAAGGAAGGCCCAGGCCAGGGTGGGTTGAAGAATGCTGGTCGGCCGCCTATGCTCCATTTGGGGGGTAACAGGCGTATGTAAATAAAAAGTAAAAGGACATTGGTATAGTATCCACAACTACAACTTGTAAAGTCAACCAAATCTGAAGTTAGACAGTAATCAACTGACCGTATTGAAAAAAGGCTATCAGAAATTATTACATCTTAAGTATCACTCATAATATGGGTCATTTGATCATGATAATATTATGCTAGCAAATAAACCTCCAGGACATGAATACATTGTATGCTCAGTGAAAGTAATACTAGAATGATACAACTATCATGTCTTCAATGATTTTACCCAGTAAAAGTTAGTTTCATTTAAGAGACTTTGGATTACATAACATTTAAGTGTCAGGTAACTTGGAAAATACTGGCATTTGGACCAGAAATCCAACAGTACTGTTTACTAAAAGATGTGAAGGCTTTTAGTCTGATACTACTTCTGTAAGTAATACAAATCTCATTAATGATTGACTTCCAGATGGATTCCCTGAAGCTTTAGAAGCGACTGATAACTGACTTATCAAATCAAGCAATT